GAGGATAAGTTAGTGTTGCAGAGGAACCAACACTTTGAATTCCTTGGCCACTGTGAAGCCCATGAAGACTGCATTCTCTCTTCAGACACCATGCCAGCAGTTGAGACCGACTGGACTATTCTCACTGGCTGGAGTAAGTTGAAAAACCAATAAAAAATGTTGTTTTTTTGCAAAATTTCCAAAAATGTCAAAGTGCTGACATTTTACTGGCATTTTTCAATTGTTGAAAAATTTTGACCAGCTTTTCCAGATTTTTTTTCTGGTAAATTTTTTTTATTATTATTAATGTCATTGAAAATTTGAAAGTGGGGAAATTTTAACCAGTTCTGGGCTTCACAGTCTGAAAATTCCTTGTCATGTTCACTTGTCACTCTTCTGGAGAACCCTTAATTCAGGAATTGGCTTTGTGCCTGGTTTGACAGAGCTCAAGTTCGCTGTCCAAAGCATGCGTCAAGGTGTAACTATTTACCCAGACTTGAAACAGTGGCTGAGCAGGACCGAGTTTCTGCAATGGTTTATGGCGTTTAAGTTTGCCATTATGTCAATCTAATTAATGTCCATCAATTGCACTTTAAATTAATCCAATCTTGCCTAAGATAAACAGATAGTTACTTCAGTATTCTTGTATTTTCTATGCTTATTGTCTTGACTTCTCCAAGTCAACCAATTCTAAGTCAGGACTTTTGAGTCCATTACTCATTTCAAGAAAAATTAATTGATCAGATTAAAAATATTTCTTCCTAGTTTTTTTTTTTAATTTATTTACAATGGCTAGATGGTGAATAAACTTTGGATCACAAACTGTCCTTTAGTAAGTGTTGGTACAGAACCTAACATCCTACCGCAGTGTCAGCAATAATAATAAAAAGAATTATACTCTTCTGCTATAATGTCTTTGGTTTAGTATCTGAGATGAAGGTAGCTTAACACAGAGGCTACACCCACACGATGCCACCCTTGGAGGTGGCAGGTAGTGTACGCGTAGCTACATGGCACTGTGAAAAGCAGGCTGTGTCCACACTGTGGTGTGTAGCTACCAGTGAAAGGCTCTGGCAGAGGAAAGGAAGCAGTGAAAGGCTTCAGCAGCTCCCCACAGCCAGAGCCTTTCCTTGCAGCGAGTATTTTCCTGCAGTGGGGAAAGACTCCAGAACTGGGGAGGCAGCGGGACACTACACTGATAGAAATAGTAGTGTAGACAGGAAGGCCTGGCTTGGGTAAGTAGAGAGCCGTGTAGGTTATGTACTCGGGTACATACCCACACCCCTCAGACATGTTTTTTACTTTACTCACCCAAACATGCCTCTGGTCTACGCTGCTATTTATACCTGGGCTAGGGGTCTAATGCATATGTACATTACCCACGGCTGAAAGAAGTGTGCAGGGTAGGTGTAACCAGACGCAAACAAGCAGATCTTTACTGTGGCCTCAAGGAGCTCACCTTGTCTACATCACAATCAGATCTAGGTGGTTCCATTTCCTGGTATATGTCGAATCTACCAAATCTCTTAAAGGCACAGACCATTGCAGTTGCACTGCAGGTGCAAGATTTCAAGGAGAGGGGATGAGGGCACAATGGGCACCCACACTTTAACTCCCACTATGTCTGGCCTGAAATGCAAGACACCACAGCAGCACTGGAAAGGAATGGGTAGGGGACACCATCCTTTGCACCGGTCAGGGGACCTAGTTGGATGCATGAGGCTGAAAGAGTTGCTGCATTGTCTGAAGGGAATAGCAGACATCATGCTCTTGCTGCATGCTAAGAAGCTCAGTAAGGAATTTTATCTCCCTGAGCTCCCGCTGGGATGCTGCAGTTCTATACCACGCCCAACAAATGGCTGTATAGGCACAAATACAACTAAATATCCACAACTCCTGCTTATCTTCAACAGAGGTGGCCAAAGGCAAAGCTTCAGAGAGAGAATTTCACCCTAGAAATCCAGCTCAAACCAAGGAGTTCTCAGCACATTTACAGTGATTACTTTCTCTGTCTATTCCCAGCACAGAGCCACCACAACCTATACCTCATGTTCTCTACACTGAGCATGGGTTTACTCCAGAACTCAGTGCTTAAGGACTCTTCAGCAAGGTGTAGTCAGACTCTCTTGAGATTTTTTATCCAGGCAAAAAAGTGCTCCGCAAGTAAAGTAATCCCAAAGCTGATTTTCACAAGGCAGTCCCTTAATTGTTACCCTTTTACGCAGAATTTCTTATCTCGGATTCATCCCAAGTTAAGGGGCTCAATGGAGGAGTAACTGAATGGAATTCTATGTTCTCTGTTTTACAAGAGGTCAGACTAGATATCTAATGGTCCCTTCCAGCCTTAAAGTCTATGAAACCATTGAAAATTCCCCATAGAGTAGAACCTTGATTTTATGAACACCAGTCTGAAAAATGACCATTTATATGAACCATTTTTCTCAACGGCAGGGGTCAGGGATTGGAACAAAATCACATAATGAAAGTGATGTTGAAACAAGTCTTTATCACTTCATGTACCGATACCTTTGGGGCACTGGAAATCACTTTGCAGTGGTTTGAAGGACAAGGAGAAACAATGCAATGCACCATACACTGCACTATACCCACTGTAATTCAGGTGTGCGATTTTATCAACTTTTTGATTTTAGGAACTCCTCAATTCCAAATTAGTTAATAAAATAGGGGTTCTACTGTACTTTCTAGAGGGATTACTGGGAAATACTGAAAATACGAGGTATGGAGGAGGCATCAAACTGGGACACCTCATTTAATTTTTCAGAAGTCATTGCAGAATCTCATTGTACTATCTGGCTTAGATACCAGAATGATTGGGCTGGACCATTGACTATGGGACTCCTCAATGACTCCCAGCTCCAGCATCCCCTTAACTTTAATACTGATCTCTTCTCTTTTAGCCTCCGGGATCCAATATGGTTTAACCTTCACCTTTACTCCTGGATCCGTAATGATGTGGTAATGGATTTCTATGGTTCTGCCTGGCTTTTCCTAGAACACATCATGGTTCTGTTCAATCATTTGGATGACCTCTATATGTTGTTCAGTGGTCAATTTGGGCAACATTTTTACCTGTCCCTGAGATTTATTTTTTTGGGGTGGTGTCTCTAGGGTGACTATATAAGTTTCTCTGTCTTGCCAGAGCTTCAATAGGTTAGTATGGTTGAATTTCTCTTGTTTTTGGCGACCAGGTTGTCAAATCTTATAGTCAGCCTCTCCAATAGCTTCTATAACTTGGTATGGCCCCTGCCATCTGGCGAAGAGCTTGCTTTCTGCTGTGGGCACCAGCACCATTACCCAATCTCCCATCTGGAATTTCTGAACCTTTGCTCAATGATTGTAATAGGTCTGTTGGGCCTCTTGTGCTCCTTACATGTGCTCCCGCATTATGGGGGTGACTTGGGCTATTCTATCCCACATCTGCATCACACGCTCAATGATATTCCTTCCCTGACTGGGCTCTTCTTACCAGTCTTCTCTGGCAAAGGCCAATATGTTGTGGGGGTGGTGATCATATAGCAACTCAAAGGGGGGAAACCCGGAGGAAGCTGGGGAACCTCTCTTATAGCAAACATTAGGTAGGGTAGCAAGGTATCCCAATTTTTCCCATCTCGACTCTGCTTTCCATATCATGCTCTTCAGCATTCTGTTAAAGTGTTCCACGAGGCCATCAGTCTGTGAATGATAGCCTGAGGTTCACATGGCCCGTATTTGGAGCATTACACGTAAGTTCTTCATCAATTTTGATACAAAGTGGGTCACTGGATCTGTCAAAATCTCCTCAGGTATTCCTACACTAGAGAAAATTTGGATTAACTTCTTTGCTATCATCTTGGACATTGTGTTTCACAGGGGTAGGACCTCTTGGTAGTGGGTAGTGTAATCCAGAAGCACGAGCACACATTGATGACCTTGGGCCAACTTCTCCAGTGGGCCTATCAGGTCCGTTGCTAACCTTTCAAATGGGACATCAATAATTGGTAAGGGTACTTAAGGGGCTCTTAAGTGAGGTTGTGAGCTGTGCAACTGGCATTCCAGACAGGGGGCGCAATAGCATCGGACTGCCATATAGACTCCTGGCCAAAAGAAACTGTATGATTCTATCTAGTGTTTTATCTACCCCTAAATGTCTTCCAAACAATGGCTGTGTGCCCTTCAATATCCTCAGGGTACTAGAAGCTGCTCCAGTTCTTGCTACTGTAGTCAGACTATTCTATATAAGAAGTCCCTCTTTATCATGAAGTACAGCCCTGGGCCTTTGGGTTTTCCATGAACCAGGACCCCGTTCACTTCAACAATTTCTTTTCAACAACTTATTTTCTAAATGTGATATAGAGGATCATTGGCTTGGACCTGCCCAAAATTCTTATATGAGGGACCAATACATCCAAGCTCAAGGAGATCTATTTTCATTTCATACCCAGGATTGGTCTCAGTGGAACTGGGCCCAGCCTCAGGTTCACCAACTATCTGAGTTGCCTCCCTGCCTGCTGGATGAGACCACTTACCCACAAGTACCACCTTTTGATTCTGGGCCAAGATTTTGGTCCCCAGTGCTTTATCTTGCCTCCTTTCTCATCCCCAGGTGCAGAAAATAAGTCCCGGGCTAATTCAGAGAAGATGAGAGGAGGGATATTTGCTGGAGTCACAGTACTGGTCCCGAAGCTACTGCCTTCTTCTGACCCCTCCACCAGAAGTAGGTTTACAAACCCTAGGAAGTATTATCCTGTGAGCAGCAGGCATGCGAGTTTAGGGACCACTCCTGCTGTCTCCCTTGTGTTTTCCTGAACTTCAATTTGTACAGGAATGGCTGGGCAGTAATTAACTTCCCTGTGAGACAGCTTGTTCCGTCTAATGTACATTAAAAAAAATCTTATCCAAATACAATATTGTGATGCAGTGCATCCAGAATAACTTGAGAATATTCTAACAGGTTTTTGTTGTCTATGGCTATTTAAGACATTAAAAATATGTATCACATAACTCAGCCACATTCAGCTTACCCTCAGCATGGGGCCATTCTGAAACACATGTGGTTCGTCACAAACTACGCAGTATTCATTCAGCACTGGTATCCGCTGCTCAGCAAACTCAATAGTCTGAGAACAATGAAAGTGAGAACAATAACATCTGCTTAAAAATAATTAACAGACAGCTCCTGCTTCAAAGTGTTTCTAAAACAGATTAAGCATGACATCCTACCTGCACAAGAAAGCCATTGTCTCGTATTGGAATGCATTTTGCACCATAATTCGGCTGTAAGAAAAAAGGTCAAGCAACTTCAGTGCTAGAGCTAATTAGAAGAGATGCTGCAGGTTTCTTGTGGAAATAGTAAGAACATTTGTATTTTTTTTCTATGAAGGTCTGTGAATTAAACGATATTGGCATCTGGAAATATCTCTAGTTTGCATAGATTAGCCACAATAAATTCATCTGTTTCTTTACCTCTTGCCTAGAGAGTTTTTGCTTTATCTGTAAACACCCTAAAAACTCTAATATCAAAAAGAAGCATTGGTACTTTGACTCCATGTTAATGTACAAACCTCTAAGCAATTATTTCAAATATGAATAGAATTCTTTATTTTTTGTGTGTGTATCCTGCTTCTCTACACATATATAATATGGACTATGTGTTTAGACTTGAATTACTAACATGCCTTTTAAAACAAAAAAAGTAGAAAATCTCTTTCCACTATACTTTTCATGAAACCTCTTCCTTGATCCTCATCTTAACAAGTATCTATGCTCAGACCTTCTTTCTGACACTTTATTTCAAAGTGTTATCCCACATTACTTTGGAAGGTACCTTTGCTACGGTGGCCACTAAGATGTGGAACTCCCTCCCCCTGACATCTGTCTCAGACCATCTTTTTTACTTCAGTGGGAGATGGACCAAGCTGCTTATTTGTGGAACCTTTCTTTTCCCTCCCCTGCTGTTTCTTTTCCTGTACAGAACTCCAAGTATCTTGGCAGGTCTTTGGAAAGGAGCTAGGATTTTAATAAGTAAAGTGCCTAATTAAGTCCTGATGCCATTCCACTGAAGTCAATGGTGTTGCACCTGACTGCATACGGGCTGATTTCCCTCAATATTCATGTATTATGACAAAAATGTTATTTTTCTTAGCAGTTCTGATTTCCCCAAAGTCAGTGGGATTCTTTCTATTGACTTTAAGTGGGAGCTGATTCAGGCCCCTAAAGCAGAGACACCATCGTCGACGGTTCAGAGTGAAAAATGAATCCCAAACATAAGTGATAGTAGATAAAACTTTTCAGTTCACCTTTCATTAATTTTGGTTGTACAAGTTACAGAAACAACCAAGTAACATGCACATAGCAGCTTTATAAGTCACACTATATTATTGCCTTTAGATACAGCGAGAGTTGCTCATAGTTGACTTGTTAGGCTAATTTACCATGAGTAGGCTGAAACACTATTAATGTAATTTCATTACAGTTAGAATATTTAATAATATTTTAGACTTACATAGCACCATTCAACCAAGGATCTCAGAATTCTGTCGAGGTGGGGAAACTGAGGTACCATACTTATCAATGGTAAAGTTGTGACTAGAACCCAGGTCTCCTGACGCCAGCTCCCCACATCTAACATGTAAGACAACAAGCACTGCCTCCCAATGCCTTGAAACAGGAAAGCAAACTAGCTCTTACTTACTCTTAAACATCCTCCCGATTTTTAGTGATCAGTTACAGACGGAACTAACATTGAAGTGTATTTTCTATGTTTAGTAAAATGCATGTTAACCCTTTGGGTTGGGTTTCCCAACCCAAAACAAGAACAACTGTATGGGCATGTATGGGACTTTCCCCAGGTGGCCGCAAGGAGGAAAAATGGGCTTCAATCCCCTGCTCAACCTACCCATATCACTGTCTATGCACAGGCTATGGAGGAAGCAAACACCCATTGAATATTACTCTCCCCCTACACCAGTGTCTTCAAGGAGTGGGTACAGCCTCAACTCCACTCCCTTCAATGTGCTGACCAGCATGAAGGGAGAAGGAACTTACTACTGGATGGGGCTATCAGCAGGTTATTTCCCCCATGGAGCAAGAGAGGAACCAGGGAAGGAACTATGTGACTGAGCTGCTCCTGTGTCACAGCAGCAGCATGCTGCCCCTTACTCAGGGGTAGACATAAAAGCTCGGTCTTAGCCTATGTGGTCCCAGTTAGTATGACAGATTTGTATGTGTGCAGGTATTTATTTAATATTGACCAGAAAGGTAACTTCCAATGTGTTTTATTTAATGTTAAATCCTTCTTGATGTATGAATTTATGTATGCCCTGGATATTAATCCATTTTAAAAAACAAGCAAGAGAAAAAACAAACAAACAGAAAGAATAATGATTATTACGCACAGCAGCTTGCGAAGGTGATGAGGAAGATGGCGTTAAGATACCAATAAGCCCTGAGGTAAGAGAGAGCCTCCTGCCCTCTGCTATGGTGGGTTCTTTGAAAAACTCCATTTTGGATGACTTAGGGGCACTGGAGTAAGACTTGCTGAGTAACTTGTGATTCTTCAGTCCATCTAATTCTTCCATTCTAAGATTACTGGAATAAGACCTGCTTAAAAGTTTGTGAGGCTTCAAGGTGCTATTGTGCTCACATCGAGGATCCCCGGAACATGATCTGCTTAGGAGTTTTTGGGGCTTTAGAGTGATGCATTCTTCTTGCTTAACAGCTGCTGAGCAAGAACGATTCAACAGTTTGTGCGATTTAATAGCCATTGTCTGCTCAGCCCTAGGATCACTAGACAATGAACGGCCAAAAGTTCTGTGAGACTTTGTGGCACACACATCCTCAGACTTTACTGTGCTAGAACAAGTCCTTCTCAGCAGCTTGTGAGTTTTGGAGATGCCATCTTGTTCAGATTTCAGTTTTGATTTGTTTTTACCACAGCCAGGTGGAGGATAACTTGGCGACCTTAAAAATAAATAAGGGGAAAACCTAGTACAGGAACAATAAAAAACTCCATGAAATAATAAATACACAACTTTACATATAAATACACATATAATCAAGGTATTTTTTTTAAAAAATATCTGTTTAACGCAGAAGAAAGAGTGACATTTATGGATTATGCAAATTTGTAAACAGATTTCATTCCTAAAAGTATATAATAAGTAGTATGTATATCTGTGTATCTGACTAGCTATAGGCATAGGCCATGATTTAAAAAAAATAGGTGCCTAAATTTAGGCTACTAAGTTCATAATCAGGCCACTTACTTAGGCATCTATTTTTGAAAATCATGGCCATATTTTTCATATGGAGCAATAGACTTCTTCAATCAAAAGGGTAAATCTACTTTGCTTGCACAATTGTTATAGCATGGTTCTTTCAAGCCATGCTAATTTCTTGACACCACGAGCCAGAGGAGTTTTGCAAGCAGATCAATTGCAGGATATAATGGGTTCTTAGAATTTTAACTTCTGCAGAAGCTTGTATCCAGTCACTCACATTTATCTCAACCGAAACAATTCTTAAAAAAAAAAAAACAAAAAACGAACCTCCCCCCCGCCCAATAATCTGATTATTTTGTAGAAGACAGTTTGGCTTGATTCTCTTCTCACTTCAAGTGGTTTTACTTCGGTGTATTCCTGATTGGCAGCAGCGTAATGCAAGAGGGTAATCAGGCCTAATATATATATCAAGAAAACAAGGAATCAAGGTGCAGATGAAGCAACATTTATATGATCTGGACTATTTTTTCTAATATTTAAAATTGTTTACCTAGTACTAAGAGAGCTGGTATCAGGCAAAATTAAATCTTTCTGAATCATTTTTCCATCCTCATATCAAAGTGAAACCTTTTTGGTTTGCTCAAAAAGAAGAGAAATGGAATCAAAAGGGAAAACATCCCTTTAACAGGCTGGCAGTGTCTATCCATACTGTTAGCAAATGGTGATCCTGCTGGAAAATGTTCAGTGAATGTGCTGACTCACGCTTGTAAATGATTCATTACCATACATGGATATAAGGGAGATGGGAATGGTACTGTTAACAAAGAAAGGAGGCTTAGCATATGGGCTAAACAGTCTTTGGAGAGGAATCTTAGTTGCAGCTGAGTCTAGGGGAGAAGGATTGGGTTGGCTTTTGTATTCAATTTGTGAATAAAACCAACCCCCAGGAAGTGTAAGAGAGAGAGAGAGAGAGAGAGTGTGTGTGTGTGTTGACATGCTATAGCTTGTGTGAATGTTTGGTACAGAGTGTGAAAACCTCTGGCTCACAATTCCATCTTCCTCTTTTATTTCCTGTAAATATAAATACCCCTCGACACCTCTGTATGGATACAGTATCCAACCCATCGCCAATCTGGGTCTGTTGTACCACTCACTGTTACATGTGAAACTTAGAATACAAGAAATTCGTCAAGCACCAGAGATGCTCAAAGGATCCCCCAAACCCGAAGAGGGGGTGATCAGCCAACTCCCCAAAAATAGAAAAAAGTGCTACATCAGGTGAATTACACTACTGAAAGACACAGAGGCACTTAAGTGCATGAATAACTTTACTCATGGTAGTATGAACTCAATGGGATTCAAAAGGACTATTCACATGAGGAAAGTTATTCATGTATATAAGTACCTCCAGGATTGGGCCTTTCAAGGCCTGGTGACTGATTTTCAGAGGTGCTGAGCATGCATGCTTCCAAATGAAATCAATAGGAGGTGTCACTGCACAGCACCTCTGAAAATCAGGCCCTACTCCTTGAGATATCAGAAACATTTTTTTCTGAAAGTGAAGAAAAATACAATTATGGAAAGCAAACTTGGACAGCAATAAAACTAGCAGGATAATATGGCTAAGGCTACGTTTATGTCACGGAGGTCATGGAAGTCATGGAATCCGACTTCTAAGACCTCCGACATTCTCTGCTTCAGACCTAGGGACTGCCGGACTCAGCCAGTGGGGACCTGACATGGTTCCAGCGTCAGGCGACAGTAGTGACAGGGGGCGCCCTGCAAAGTTCCAGCAACAGGTGACAGACTCCTGAGGGGAGCCCTCCACAAGGTTCCAGCGATAGGCGACAGCGTGTGTGTGTGTGTGTGTGTGTGTGTGTGTGTGTGTCGTGTGTGTGTGTGTGTGTGTGAGGAGTAATGATTCGGGCGAGCGGCTGGGATGTCCCGTTTTCTCTTTGGCAAATATGCTCACCCTGCAGCTCCCAGCTGCTGTGGGAGGAGGGGGAACCCCACAGCTCCCAGCCATCACGGTGGTAGGGGAAAACCATGAAGCTGCAGCAGCAAAAGTCACAGACAGGTCATGTCTTCCGTGAATTTGTATGGTTTATTGCCTCTGACATGTCCGTGACTTTTACTAAAAATAACCATGACAAAATTTTAGCCTTAACTATGGCTAATAAAATAACAGTCTGCCTACTAAACTAATAATAGCGCACACAGCCAAGTTTAACAGTATAAAATGAGTGATTTCCAGTTCTAGATGAGTCAGGGTCTTTTAGAGGGTAGGACATGAAAACGTTCCCCCCCGGAATAATCTTGGAAACTGCTGTAGTTCCTAGTTAGTTCTTGAAATCATACAAGGTGAGGGCACAAGACCCAAGAGGTAAGATATAAACAGAATACTTCTCTTTGGAGAAAAGTCAACATTTCTGCTAAACTGCTAAATCTTGTTAAGTATGCTGAAGAATCTGAACAGCATGTGATAATAAAAATATTTCGCCTGGTATTACCTGCGCAATGTAGAAAAGATGTGCAGAGGGGATTTCACCTTTTTCTCAGACACTTTCTTATTGTGCGTACAATTTGATTTTTCTTTGCTATTCTTCCACTGCTGTGTAACAAACGTCTGCATTATTCTGTAAAGGAGGAAAAGACAATCAAAGCCAAGTCACAGTAATTGTAAAGCTAACACCTGTACATTCATCATTTAAAGCCATGTAGTGGCCTCATTCTAAATGAAGAACTTGAGAGTCACATGGGTGGATTGAGGCCAGTACTTGGCTCTTTAAAAATGACACTGTTATTGATATAAGCTATATAAGTATACATCATATACACATCAAAGATGAAAGATGTGAAAGTATCTTTGTCACAGAGATGCAGAAACAGTGAGAATGTTTAGGTTTGAGATGCATGGGTGGTACTGTTAAAATAGATGGTAGTGTTGACTTAACTGGCTATTTCATTGATTTTCAAAAGATGAAGATCTTCTTGCCCTCAAAAGTGATGAGGGACCATGAGACCTGTGGCTATTCAAAATTTTTGACTTAACTGCATAGTTATGTAGATGTACAATCACAGATCTCTCCCCTCTGCCTGACAAAATGTATCACACAAAAATGCATTGTGTATGCCTCTTGTAAAGGCTATCTAATGTACAACTCACGGGTACTATAAGGAATTAAATGTAATATTAGAAACTGATTACTTTTTTCTCAATTTCAAATTACTGCACAGATTTTTAATAATGTTAATTAATCTGCAAGGTTATTAAAACACTGTGCTGATTATTTCTGATTGTTTCTTTAAACCTACCAGCAAAAGATTTCTTTATGGAACCAAACTGCCTTTTTTTTCTTTTTTTAAAGGGGTAGATGTTTAGGATACATCTACACAGCAAAAAAATCCCCACAGCAGTGACTCTAAGAGACCAGTTCAACTGACTTGTGCTTGTGCTTCAGGACTAAAAATAACTGTGTAGATGTTGGGGGTCAGAGCCCTAGGCTCTGAAACCTGGCAAGGGCGGGTTGTGTCCAGCCCAGGGCTCCAGCCTGAGCCTGAATGTCTACACTGCTATTTTTAGCCCTGCAGTGCAAGCACTGCGAGCTAAGTCAATTGACCTGGGCTATGAGCCTGCAGAGTTGTTTTTGCTGTGTAGACGTACTCTTAAACTTACATTCTTGTCATTTTATTAATAGTAATTATTCATATTAATTATTAATTAATATTAATAATGAGAATTTGCAAAAAGATGAATCGTCAGAATTTTAACTAAACTGAACTAAGTCTTGAACTGGCTACATGAAACTGCTCAATCTTTTCATCTACTGTGCCTTACTGGCCTCAGAAAATCAGTGCCCAAGTGGTTATTAGTTTTTGTGGTAGAACCTCAAAGTCACCCCTCACAGATTGGAGCCCCATTGTGCTAGGCATTGTACATAACAGGTTGCCTGCCTCATAGAGCTTAAAATCTAAGTTGTCATATGAAATAAAACATGGTCTAGATAGTACTTAGTCCTGCCATGAGTGCAGGGGACTACACTAGATCAGTGGTTCTCAAAGCCGGTCCGCCGCTTGTTCAGGGAAAGCCTGTGGCAGGCTGGGCCGGATTGTTTACCTGCCACATCCGCAGGTTCGGCCGATTGCAGCTCCCACTGGCCGTGGTTCGCCGCTCCAGGCCAATGGGGGCTGCAAGAAGCGGCGCGGGACGGGGGACGTGCTGGCTGCCCTTCCCGCAGCCCCCATTGGCCTGGAGCGGCGAACCGCGGCCAGTGGGAGCCGCGATCAGCCGAACCTGCAGACGTGGCAGGTAAACAAACCGGCCTGGCCTGCCAGGGGCTTTCCCTGAACAAGCGGCGGACTGGCTTTGAGAACCACTGCACTAGATGACCTTCCGAGATCCCTTCCAGTCTAGTGATTCTGACTCTCAGCTGCATCCTCTTTGATTTCACACACTTTAGACAGTACAGTTTACAAAACTGCAGTAAATGGCAAGGGGAACATTTACAGGGATTACCTGTTATTTGTCAGCACTGTCAAAACAATTTGAAAGGAGGAGGTGGACTTTTTAACTGAAAAAGCAGTCAGGAGCCATTTGGCCCAAAGAGAACTACAACCCATCTGTTAAATGTGTCTTGACCCAATGCAAGAGCTAACATAGGATGATTGTAACAATAATGCATTAAGCAAGATCGTATTAAATTTCTTCCAGAACTTACTTTTTCAGCTGATGTCCCAACCCAAATCTTTCCTTAGTAGAGATCTGAAATACATCCACGGTGGGTACTGCAGAAAATGTAATATTGGTGATATGTGTAAATAGGAATTGCCATGCTAGAACAGGCTATCACAGAGACCTACTTATTCTATTAGTGGATTGATATTTACAGGCAATATTCTGTGCTAATTTATACTTGGGAAACACCATGGAAACAATGGTGAGGGCGGTACTCTTGCCTGAGCCAGTATGGAACTTGAACACGTGAGCAAGAACCAGCCAGCCAAGCACCTGAGTACCACTTCAGAGTATTGGCCCACCCTGTTTAGCAACCCAACTCCAGCCCTGGCCATCTCATTTCCAAGTAAACAGTTCTAGTCTTTTAAATCTCTTTTTGCAGGGAGCATTACTCTCCCTCACCTTCAAAAGATTTACTGATTTACTTACTCATTTAATCTCTTTTTGGTGGGGAAGTGGAGATTCCATTACTTGCCTATCTTTATTTACTGTTCACTATTCTTTAAAAGCCCTTTGAGACTTTGGACCAAATTCTGCCCTCAATTACACCATGTAAATGCAAAGCAACCTCACTGAAATCAACAATATTCCCCTGTTTTCACACCAGACTGACTGAGGGTAGAATTAGGCTCTTCCCCAAAGAGGACTTGCCATAGATCCTTTAGTATCTCATCAGCACCACACCATATTTTCTGGATCAAAGTGTTTTCTCTCTGAGAGGCCTTCCTACCCAATGCTCATTCCAGAACTTTTTAAAAGTATAGGAGATCTGGAATATTTTTGTTGCAGAAGGTAATTCTGCTCGGAAAAAAGAATATTTTCTGTATGAAATTTTAATTTATTCAAGTTCCCCTGAACTATTATAGGTGTTATTATTCTACTATTATAGAATTAGCCCAATCTGTAAGCATGCAGAGACAGTCAAACTCTACTCAGACATTTATCTGTTCCCTGTCTCTATCTCTTAGAATGTAAAGAAAACCTACCAATTTCATTTATCTGTAGGGTTTATTTTTTGAAGGCATTTCAGTAAAAGATCCAGAGAGCTTGTCATCTGAATGCATCATGTATGAATCCCAATACCCAATGACTGGTCTGATCTTTCATCAAGGAAGCTCAGACGTTGTCATTTATGTGATAGGATACAGACTTCATACCATTCCCACCATCAATACGCCCATATTTATTGGCTCAGATAATTGAAAACATAAGACATGGAGGCTGGACACAAGCTTCCAGTTCTAGTATTACCAAAATCCTTTTGTAACATTTACTAGATTGAAATGGCAGATGGCACCAAGCACTTATTGAAGAAATCTCAATTCTTTGAGGCAGGATAACAACCAGCATATATTACAAGCATTGATATCGTCCAAACAAATGCATTTCATTATTGTAAGAAAAGAAAAGAACTTTAATGATTACACTGAAAAAAAGAGATCCTAAAGATCTGGCTTAATATTTGAAGTTAACTTTTATCAGAATGAAATCGTGATTTTTAAGCATATGTTATTCTGATCATTATTATTTTTTTAAAGGCAATAAAAATGCCAGTTCTAATCTGAAATGCCACTGTTTGCCAGGTGCTCTTTAGAATGATTGTTTCATTTGCAAATAATTCAAAACATATCTTCCGTCTCCCTCAAATTTCCCTTCTTTCAAAGAAACATCTGTTGATTTTTTTTATCCTTTTGTGCAGTGCTATTATTTAAATGCTGTTTAATCTTTCTGAGACAAACTGTGGTTGGATTTTCAAATGGGATGGATAATGTGATTAGCAGTAACAATGTATTTAGATTTATAAATTCTAAAGTGTAACTAAATCTCATATTTCAGAGCATAAGATGATTGCCTGATTGCCTGAAGGGTTTAGGAGCCCTTTTCCACACAATTAGCATGGGATGTGCTGCATTTCAGAATGTGCCATGGTGCATTTCACTTCCTTTTAAACATCAGGTAATGGACACTGCCAGAAGGAGGATACCAGACCAGATGGCAGTGGAGCTGGAACAATTTGTATAGTGGGGGTGCTCTGCAGCAGCACCCCCAGCACTCCTAGTTCGAGCACCTATGCCTGATGGACCAGTGATATCATTTAGTATGGAAAATCCATTGCCCCCATTCCTAATATTGTTTCAAGTACTCATCATAGTACAGATAAATGAATTCTTGAAAAATATCTATTTCTGTCCAGAAACTATACTCTAATGAATGGGTTTTGTTTTGCATTTTTAAATATATATACAGTGTATATTCACCTTAAACAGTTAAAGTTGGCAAAATTATATGCAAGTGAAAACAGGATCTTATAATGGCATGTGTTGGGCAAACTTGCAAATATACATATATTTATTTATTCCATATATTTCCGAAACAGGAACCTAGAGGTATCTTATCAATATAAAAAATTCCATACTACTCATAAAAAATGGAAAAAAAGAACATTGGTAGTAATCTGGCTAGGTACTAAATAAGAACAGAAATTTCAAAATACTTGTATTCTGTATAACACATCTGAAAAAGCAGCCAGCCATATTTTGCCTCCCTTTGAACATATAGTACATCTGTTTCTTCCATCAGTGAATGGCAGACACACAAGGAAAGATATACATACCATAAGGTAATAACAAGTTATTACTCAGAACAGTGTTTCATGGGGAAAGGTTGAGGAGAGAGAGAGTTCCTTCATATATTGATATGTGAGATTGAGCTCATTGTTCTTTTTTACTGAAAATCACTGGCAGAAACAGCAACTGCACTATACTCATAAGATCAATAATGGCAAAGCACCTGTCTCTCGCCCTGATCCTGCAATTGACTGCATACAGGCTCAAGGGTGCTTCTGCACAAAGTTAGCTGCAGGATTGGGGCCTATAATTCCTGTTTTAACCTTGTCACGAGTGCAAAAGTTTTATTGTCGCTTATGGTCTTGCTAGAACATAACCAGCTGGATAAGGATTTGCAAAGTTCACCCTCTGTTGCTGAGTGTGTTAGAATTTTGATTTCATATTGGAGTTGGCTAACACAATAATAAATGTTAACATAAAGTTACAATAGCTATTTGCAATAAATAAACACATGAACATTTATAAAAAATATATATTCAAATAGTAAGATGTGGTGAAACAAGACACTAAGCCAAGCATAAATAAGGTACTGATATAATGAACAGATCAGCTTGCAGAAAGCAGTTGCAGACAATGGAGTCCCTAAGAAATGGCTTACTAGGGTATTTTTCCCAGACAAATCATGACCGGAAAAATATCTTTATTGTTCAGGGGCAGAATTCTCCCACAGACATAGATCTGAACTGAGAGCCAGGATTGGAAGCCTCAGTGGGTGTGAATAGCAGTTCACATGAAAATGTTGTACTGTAACTCCTCCATGTGGATGCTATGGGCATGAACATGAAGGTCCGAGTCCGCACTAATGTAGTCCTCTTTGAAGAGGTGCAAACCCAAGACTTTTACATTCACATCCGCAGTGTCCACACAGGGGAGTTATAGCACAGCACTTCGGTGTGTACTGCTGTCAACACCCTTTTAGTCCAAACCGCGGGGCAGTGTAGACATGCCCTTAGTATTGATCGTGCAAACACTTATGCAGAGGCTTAACTTGAAGTCAATAGGACCACTCACGATAGTAAAGTTAAACATGTGCAGATATATTTTCAGGATTGGGGCTTTAGCAATGAACATGTATATCTGCTACCCTATACATGGCTCACAACTAAGACACTGTACACAGCACAGGAAAAATGCAAATGTGACTAACCTGGACCATTTAAGTACTGTGTAAGTGAACAGTGCAATCGCACTATTATAGGCTCTGTGCGGATTACATCCCAAGCCACAGCAATCTCTTCCTGATTCCAGAGAAAAAGAAAAACAACAAAAATCATTAGCCATCATCAGGAACTGTTTATGTTTTGTCAGTCAACCCTTGTGCTGGTGAAGAAATATTCAATGGAATGTACTCATCTAAGCTATTATTTTCATCTGTTTGCCCACTCCTGGACTCTGCTCCATCAACTAGGAGATACTAGCTCAAGAGGAGAGCAAAAAGAGTGAACAGGGTGGGAAATACAACTGGTCCCACAGTAGAGGGCTAGAAGAAACCGGATGGCATATTCCCCCTTGCCTTGAGACTAAAGAAATCCTATCACAGGAGAGTCAGGTATTCATGAGGGTTCAGGGGCAAACAGAACCATCCTGTGTACCACGTTTACCTGGGGAAATTATATCAATACAGATGCTAATGCTGTTCCTAGAATCATTAACTTTCACCCTTGTAAAGGGAGGTTATTGCACAGATGTGATGGCAAAGTGAGAAAATAAGGAAAAGAAAAAGAGAAGGTTACTCACCTTGTGCAGTAACTGAGGTTCTTCGAGATGTGTGACCGTGTGGGTGCTCCACTTCAGGTGTTGGTGCGTCCCAGCACCATTGATCGGAGATTTATGGTAGCAGTGTCCACACAGGTTGCGCATGCACAGTAGGCATCTCGCAGTGCTGTTGGTGCCATGTCTAGCACATGCACGACCCAAGCCCTCCAGTTCCTTCTCTACCGCAGAGTCCTAATGGCGAACTCCGAAGTAGAGGGGAGGAAGGTGGGTAGTGGAGCACCTACAGAGACACATATCTCGAAAAATCTCAGTTACTGCACCAGGTGAGTAATCTTCTCTTCTTCTTCGAGTGCTGTCCCTGTGGGTGCTCCACTTCAGGTGACTGTAGAGAAGTATCCCTCAGGCAGGAGGGATACTTTGGGTTCATTTGCATCGTGGGGGTAAGTACGGTTGGAGCCAACTATGGTGTCAGCCCTAGAGTCTTGAGTGATAGCACAGTGCTCAGTAAATGTGTGGACAGAGGCCCAAGTGGCTGCCCTACAAATCTCTAATAACAGAACATTGTTTAGGAATGCTATAGAGGATCATGTGGAATGTGCTGTGATGTGTGTAGGAGGGTCTGCTTTTCAAATATGATAGCAATGTTGAATGCATGTGGAGATCCATTTAGACAATCTCTGAGTGGATATCGCGCAGCCTTTTGAAAGTTCAGTAGTAGGAACGAAAAGTCTAGGAGATTTCCAGAAAGGTTTGGTCCTTTCCAGGTAAAACTCTAACACCCGCCTGATGTCCAATGTATGCAAGATGGTCTCTGTTGGAGTCTCGTGAGGCTTAGAATAGAATGTAGGAAGATGGATTGGTTGGTTCATATGAAAGGATGATATTACCTTTGGTAGAAATTTTAGGTGCAGGCATAACGTGACTTTGTCTTTGAAGAATATTGTGTAGGGAGGATCGGCAATGAGAGCCCCTATCTCACTCACCCATCTGGTGGAAGTAATAGCAACCAAAAAGGCCACTTTCATGAATAAATGTAGTAGGGAACAGGTGGCTAGGGATTCAAATGGCGTTCTGGTGAGGCATTTCAATATCAGATTGAGGTCCCAGGCCGGAATAGGTTGACGAACCTCTGGGTAAATGTTCTGGAGATCCACAAGGAAGCGTTTAGTAATGGGGTGCATGAAGATCTATGTCCCATCAATTTCACGATGGAATGCTGTTATGGTCATGAAGTGGACTTTGATCGAGCTCACTGCTAAATCCGAGCATTTCAGCACCAGTAGGTATTCCAGCACTAATGGTAGAGGCGTTGTGGAGGCTGTTACATGTTTTTCTTGACACCAGGAGGAAAATCTCTTCCATTTTTGAAGGTAAGTATTACACCTGGTCACTTTCCTGCTGTTTAGTAATACGTGTTTGACTTGTTCCGAGCAGGCTAGTTCGCCACAGTGGACCCATGCAGGAGCCATGCTTGAAGATGGCGTTTCTCCAGATTGGGGTGAAGAGTGTGACCATTGTTCTGAGACAGCAGGTCTGGATGGCAAGGGAGAGCTTGAGGGGCGCATATCGCCATATGCATCAGGTAAGGGTACCAGGCTTGCCTGGGCTATGTTGGGACTATGAGGATGACCTTGGCCTTGTCTAGGCGTATCTTGCGTATCACGTGTGATATCATGGGAATTGGTGGGAATGCTTACATGAATTGTGCATCTCATGTGATGAGGAAGGTGTCCCCCAGTGATCGTGGTCACATTCCCGCTCTCGAGCGGAACATTGTGCATTTGCGGTTTGTCGGGGATGCAAACAGGTCGATGACTGGAGTGCTCCACTGGCAGAATATGGATAGCAGGACTCCCTCGTTCATTTCCCATTTGTGGTCTTGAGAGAAGTAGGGTAGCAGGGAAGAAAGGAGGCTGAAATGTTTATGTTGCGGTGTATGCACCAGTTCCACACTTTCATGGCTTCGGTGCATAGTGAGTGAGATCGAGCGCCCCCTTGGAGATTGATGTAAAACATGCAAGCAATGTTGTCGGTCATTACACAAATTGATTTGTTCTTTATGTGAGGTAGGAACAGTTTGTAGGCATTGTGGACTGCGCATAGCTCTAGTAGATTGATGTGTAGCTGAATCTATGCAAGAGACCATTTTTCTTGAACTGTATGCTGATGCATGTGGGAGCCCCAGACTATCAGCGAGATGTCTGTCGTGATTACTACTGATGGGGGTTCCTGTTGGAATGGGATGCCCATGATACATTTTCTGGTCTTGTCCACCAGTGTAGAGAGTCCAGGACACAGGGTGGTACTGTAAGTCGTTTGTGCAGGCTGTGCTTGCTGGTTATGTATACCGAGCTCAACCAGCCCTGTAGGCAGCACATATGTAGTCTTGTGTGTCGTACCATGAACATTGTGGCTGCCTTGTGTCCTGGCAGCTGTAGGACAGTCAAGCCGGTGTTTGGGGGCTGACTCTTACCTCTGTGATAAGGTTTGTCAGCGCTGTGAATCTGTTCAGGGGCAGGAATGCCTTGGCTTGTATGGCATCGAGATGTGCCCCGATGAAGTCCAGCTGCTGGACGGGGACTAGAATGGATTTTCGTTTATTTATCTGTAGCTCTAGATCCCTGAACAGACGTGTGATCATCGTCTGGACTGCGTCCTGTGCTTCTTGTTGAGTTGGACCTTTGAGAAGGAAATCTTGGAGGTCAAGGGCTGAAAACCAGTCCCCCCTTTGCAGCGCTAGAAGTATCGCGCCCAGTGTGACCATCTTGAACTTTTGAGTGTGTATGAACTTGTTGAGGTTCCTAAGATCCAAGATTGGTCTCCATCACCCGTTCTTCTTCTGGGTCAGGAAGTAGTGGGAATAGACCCCCTTTCCCTTGTATTGCAAAGGTACTCGTTCCATGGTACTTAGTTGTAGAAAATGATCGGCTTCTTGTCATAACAGGTGCTCGTGAGAAAGGTCCCTGAAGAGGGATAGGGAGGAGAGTAGGGTAGGTGGTCGGTAGGTAAAGGGGATGGTATATCCCGATCATACGATCTCTAAAACCCATTGGTCTGTGGTTATTGATGCCCAGATGTGGTAGAATGGGCAAAGGCGGTGACCAAAACATGGGGACGAATTGGGTGTAAGCACTGCCTGGTGAGGGAGGTCGTCCAGACCCTCAACCAAAACTTCAAAATTGTGGTTTGGGCAGAGCCAATTGAGAAGTTGATGGTTAAGACTGAGGTGCTGTCTGTCGCTGCGAACATTGATGCTGTCTTTGGTTCTCGTATAGGCGTTGCTGCTGTCAGTCTAGAGGAGGAGACTCTGGGCCTCTGATAAGATTGCACCTCCTTCTCTTTGCAGATGGTGTGTAGATCCCCAGAGTGAGCAGAATGGCTCGGGAATCTTTCATCGAATGGAGCACCTTGTCCATCTTGATCGAGAACAATTTCTCTCGGTCAAAAGGTAAGTCCTCGACCTTGGTTTGGAGTTCTTTAGGAATGCCTCAGAATTGCAACCAGGACACCTGGCACATCACTACGGCCGTGGTTCTAGCTGCTGTATCTGTGATGTCCAAAGACTCCTGGAGGGCTGTTTCCACAACGAGTTGACCTTTGTTTAGAATGGCCTTGAATTGTGCTTGTTTCTCAATATCCTATAGTTATCATAATCATATTTTGCTAATATAGCAGAATAATTGGCGACTCTGAATTGTAATGTCGCCGAGGAGTAAACTTTTGTCCAAAGAGCATGTGTTGGCAACGGGGGTAGCGACCTGGCAGAAGACTGCCTATGTTTCTGCGGTGCTTTCTGCGGAGATGTCTGTGCCCTCCTCCTTGGTCTGTTAGAGGAAGGTATGTCTCCTGTCCCTGAAGGGAAGGGTGCCCGGATAGGAGGCCGGTGGTCCATCTCTGGTTGGAGAGATTTCTCCATCAAGAGCATTTTGAGGCGGAGATCCCGGTCGCGCTGGGCTCTCATCTTCAGGTTACTACAGTGGGTGCATTTTTGTGGGCTATGCACCTCACCGAGACATCAGACACACAAGGAGTGCCCATCAGAAACGGGCATTGGTTTGCAGCAGGAGCCGCATTATTGAAAGCCTGGGAGCCAGCATCTTGAACAGTTAACCGACCCCGCTGTGGGGAAACTACAGGGAGGGTAAAACCGGAAGCAGTAAAAAAACAAATTTCTAAAAAACTAACACTAACACTAAATACAACTTTATAACTGCCTAACTATCTAAACTATTATTTCTAAAGGTATGGGAAGAGTGAACACTGCCCCAGAGCTCTGTCTTCAGCCGAGGATGGTTGAGAAGGAACTGGAGGGCTCGGGCCGTACGCGCACTGGACCCGACATCAATGGCACTGCAAGATACCTACCAGGCATGCATGACCCGCGTGGACATTGCTACCATAAATCTCTGATCGATGGCGCCACGGCACACTGACACCTGAAGTGGAGTACCCACAGGGATCGCACTCGAAGAACTACGTTTCCAGGGAGAAGGGGAGGCTGGGCAGCACTGTTATCTACGTCCTTTGCCACTCAAACCTTTCCCTAGAAGGGAGCACTGGTGGCAAACTATGCAAGGTGAAACTCATCCTAGGTTGTCTCCCCTCTGGGAGCATATGATGTGGTTCCATATAGCTAAGGCCCTATGGCAGCAAAAAAAGCAATGTACTGCCTTTGCCTCAGTTCATAAATTCATATGTTCCAAAGCCAGAAGGGACCATTGTGATCATGTAGATTGCCCTCTTGTTTATTCCCAAGGCAATTCTAAATGAATGTAACAAATAAATAGCTAAAAATATGTTAGTAATGAGTTTGCAGATTGACAAGAAAATGTTTCCACTGAGAACTCAGTAGCAATCAATAATGTGACAGGAGCTTGTAAAGATCAAGAATCCAAAGAGGGGAAATCTCTGACAGAATCTCATATAGGACAGAATTAAATGGGTATTAATGTTCATTATATAATTATATGATTAGATTACTTACATCAAGAAAGCTAACATCAATATGCAGATCAATGTCTACATCATCAATGGCTCCATATTCCCTGAAAGGAAAGAATTATATTACTTTTCAGCTACTGTTCAGCCCAAAAGCATCTATAAAAGGAGAGATCTTAATAAGAATAAAAGCAGTAATGGATATTAAAGTTCATATTTAACTGGGTGAGGCCAACATTTCCATAATGGGTGACTTTTTGCTGTATTGAAAGGGATCAACTAACAGCCTCTGCAAATAATACTCCAAGCCTTCAATAACACAGATAATCACATTTGAGGAACTGCATATCTCAAGGGAATTGTAATGGGATACTCTGTAATGGACAACACTGGGTAAATGACAGCTATTTACCTCTAGGTTCACATTTGGTTTGTAGTGACCAAAAGCCATTAACAACTGATGGCCGCAATGAAATGACAGCCTTTGTGTAATGAAGTGTTTGAATCCATTCCAGTTCTCAGTGAACAAGGTATCCACTCTGCTACAAACAGCATCACAACTGATAGACTGAACAGGAACAGAAACTGAACCATCATTCACTCTTAAATGCTTGGGTTTGTTCCCCATACAATAGATAAGATTCACCTATGGAAACAGGCAAGGATCTTTGTATAAGGCTCCTAGTAATGGAAAGTCTGCTATGAGTTGCATAAAGCATCTACTACCTCACCAGTCCTGGGAGGCTTACAGGTGTCTAGTTCATCTCAGAAAGTGTGCAATGCGGGCTGGACAGCCAGGAGAGCAGGCTAATTAATTTCCTCCCTTTAATAGCTGCCACTGAGAGAGCTTCTTTGGATACATCAATGGAGGTTAAAGCTCCCCTTGGTGAAGGAAACCTTCAATATTATAACCACTTGTCCTTCCTGGGGTGAATCCCCCTATAACACTGCAGGCCAGGCTGATGCAGGGAGGTGCTATTTGTGCCTCCCTGAATCTACAAGAGTGCATCTGGCCTCATGTATCTATACCTCAGGTTTTTTGCAGCTGTACTGCACACCATCTTGAATTATTGAATTCTATAAAACTCACTGGGAGTTGTATTTTATTGTATAAAGTTGGTCCCCGCAGAACCGAACTGGGGCACATTGGTCAGGCAGCATGGGGAAGTCTAAGCAGGTGTTGTTTGTTCTGGATCTACTTTGAAGATAAAAAGGTACTTAATTTTCCAGCAACATCAGTGTAACACTAAAGAGAGAAATCACACTCCTGCTCCTTCTCTGGGAAACTCTTAGAGGTACTAAAAAGAGTGTCTACAAACTGCTACAGAAAAATGAAAAAAGCTAAGACCAAGGAGAAAGGTGTAGTTGACCTGACAAAATTCCTCTCCCCTCAAAAAACCCCTGTCTAGTAATTTGGAGAAACTGCTAAAGAATAACGGAACCTTGAAGACTACCCTGTAATGTTGTCACGGTCAGTGTTAGTTTGTGCTATCTGCCACATGCAATTAATGCGGGATTCCCCAAGGCACAGTTTTAACTCATGCACATAAGTATTTTAAAGTGCTTGAACTTTTACATTTAATGTGTGACTGGTTTGCTTGTGCTGGTTTCTCTCTTGTATTGTCCTCTCATGTTTTGCCTCCTTTCAGTGACCTTCCCGCAGCATATCAAAGAACTGTTGAAAAATACAGGCTAGAACAACTACCTTTCATGTACATTAGACATAAAATTTGTGTTATGTGCCTCTTCCACCTAAATTACTTAAGTGAATAGTATTTTAGAGCAGAATCAGCAGTGTTTTTTTGTTAAACGGTCCCTCTTTAAAGCATAACTGACCAGTGCTTGCTGTCACACATAACTGGGATAGCTTTCTTTTCACCCCTTTCCCACTGCTTCCATAGCCTGAGGTAGAGGTGGTAAGAAAGACCTCCCAGCCAATCTATTAAACTTAACAGTGGCCCGAGATTGCATAAACTGACAATCATGCAAGAATTAAACTGAAAAATTAACTTTAATATTTGAAAATATTCTGTCAATATACTTCAAACTACAGCAGCAGACTGGCCTTGCGGACAATGGAAGGAACCAGCCCACAGGGCAATTGCCCAGCAGCTTAGTCCAGCCCTGTATAGACACAAACCCTGAGCCTTCAATGAACTTGGTGAAGGAGGAGCTTTATGAAGCTGTACTGGCTTCATGGAACTCACTGCTGTAAAAGGGCCTACATTTAAGATAGGTTTCAGAGTAGCAGCCATGTTAGTCCGTATCCGCAAAAAGAACAGGAGTACTTGTGGCACCTTAGAGACGGTGCCACAAGTACTCCTGTTCTTTTTACATTTAAGATGTTGCAATACTGTGTGCACTAAGTAGCTAAGCTCACTAACATGCATTAAAATGCAACCAGTGCAAAAGGTCTCACCTTTTTTATTAAATTGCTTGAAGAACCAAAGGCCAGATCCTGAAAGTCTATGAGCAATGCTTATTTATGCAAGCAGGACCATGGAACTGAATGAGACTATTCAAGTGCTAATATTACTCAAGTGAATGAGTGTTGAAGGACTGGGCCTTTGAGCAAAATCCCACCATTAAATAAAAATGTAGGTGAAACAACAAAATACACAAAAGCTGAGTGAAATAAGAGGAGATAAAAAGGGTACAACCAAGGAATTTTCATGCTCTCTAAAGCCCACCCCCTATTCATAAGGGATTTTAGGGCTATCCCCCCGAATAAAGTTGCAGGAGCTAGGAAATACTTCTACCACCACAGCCTACAGTGAGGCAGGAGCAGAGGTCATCACATAGTCCTGATGTGGCAGTGCAGCTCTTGAGATCTTTCAAACAAACCTTCAGGAGGCTGGTCCCTCAATAATCACTGTGAACGGACTCTGAGGGGTTTGGTTCATGTGGCAAATAAACAATGTGTGAAGGGTTTGCCCATCTCTAGCATCCAGAGCTCAGTGATGAGGAGCTGAATACCATGCATGCCTAGTGTCTGCAGAAACTCCTCTTTTTACCTTTAAAGTTCTCTGGTTGATCGATAATTAGACAGCAGGGGAAGAGGCAACCCTCACAGGGGATGTCTATACAGCAGCTGGGTGAGTGCTTCCCAGAATGGGCAGATAGACACACAAACTCTACTTGAGCTAGCATGTGAAAAATAGCAGTGTGGCTATAGCAGCATGGGCAGTGGCTCGGGCTAGCCTCCCAGGTATGTACCTAGGCGGTCAGGAAGGATTGTATTTGGGTGACTGGTGCTGCCACAGCCACACTGCTATTTTTAGCATGCTAGCTGGAGCAGAGCTAGTGTATGTCTATCCACCAACACTGGAAAGCGCCCTCCAAGCAGCTGTGTAGACATGCCCTTTGATATAGTCTCATTCAGCGGGTGCCCCCAATGTCATTGTCAGTTGGACTTGGTGCAGTCAGGGAATTAGGATTAGAGGAGAGGATGAAACTGAATGCCTAATGTTGCATTTTGTGGTTGCCAAAGATATATGGGTATTGTCAACTGCTGAAGAATTTAAGAGGCACAAAAGTTTTCCACATGCCAGAAACACTCACAGATACCAAATTCTAATGAATTGAGCCCTAAGAGATGGCATAGCCCACAATGAAGAAGATTATTCAGTAAATTAAACGCATTAACATTTGTAAAAGGTTATATTCATTGTTGTAATGTTAAGTGCCTGAGGGAACATATCATAAAGGTATACAGAATTTCACACAGTGTAGCAGTTAACAGTCTGGCAACTAAATGATTATCTCATTCATTTCTTAAGTCATGTACAACTGCTTGGATTTAGATTTCCAACGTCCTTTAAATCGAATGAATTTCCACTTAACTTCAAACGGCAGATAATGAAGACTTTTTTCTTTTAGGAATATCATCCAAGGAATTAAATATATGCCATTAAAATGTACACTTGATAAATTAAATGGGCATGTTATTCAGCAGCACCCCACAACTTTGTTTTAAACAATATCTCTTTTCTTAGAATAAAAGAGTTAACATATTATATAGGTTCATGGAAATTGTTATATGCAATATATGCAAGATGACCATTAGATCCCGTATAGTTTTTTATTTCTTGTCTTATATCATAGTATCAAGGTGATATTTTCTCCATCACTTTGCAACCAGCTCTGTTAAATCTTGCCTACTGGTCATAATGTATTTATTAATTATTAATTATTATTGTTATTATTAAAATAATACCTCATGAAAACATTATGGACTACATGACAGAGCAAAGATAGTTTAACAAATATTTTGAGTGAAATTATGCTTAACAGTAATTTTAATCAAAATATAACAGCCCAATCCTGTCCCCATTAAACTTAAAAGCAACACTCTCATTGACTTCAATGTTTACAAGATGGTGCCTTAAGAAATTGTTCTGAGCATAGGCAGCTGTATTAGTAAGTTCAACAACATTACAAAGCAGAGCTCAGAATCATCACTGCTACATCATAATGTTCGTTCACTTTCCATTAGTTGATATAAATTATCCCCCTAGAAATCTGTGGCAGTGACGGATTCTGTGACTTCCCGCGACCTCCAAGACTTCTGCGGCTATCAATGTGGTTGACCCCAGGGCAGCCCAAGCAGCAGGCTCCAGGCTCCCCCTGGGGTCAGCCACACCGGGTGCTGCTGAAGTGGCTCCGCAACCAGCTGCTCAGGCAGCCCCGGAGCCAGCCACACCAGCCGCTGCTGGAGCAGCCCTGGAGCCAGCTGCACCGGCCACTGCTCAGGCGGTCCCGGACAGCTGGCTCCAGGAACTTCCCGAACAGCGACTAGCGCGGCTGGCCCCGGGAACTGCCTGAGCAGTGGTTCCAGGGTGGACGGTGCAGTCACTGTTCAGCGTCCCCCGGCAGCTGGTGCCACTGACCCCCTCAGCAACAGGCCCCCAGGGCACTCCCAGTAGATGTCACCCCCAGCAGCGTCCCTCTGGGGTGCCTCCCTCCCCCCAAGATTTAGGCAGGGGTATTTATAGTGTAAGTCATGGATAGGTCACGGACCATGAATTTTTGTTTATTGCCCGTGACCTGTCCATGACTTTTACTAAAAATACCTGTGACTAAATCGTAGCCTTAGTTATGACCCTTTGTATTGTTTGTGATGGCGATCCTACATAGAGGCCTATCTGCAACATGTCAAACATGCCAGAATATAGCCAACTAGCTTCCATTCCCTAAACTTATGCTGCTGATTACCAATTTTATGTCCTTTTTCCAGCCACAGAACTGACAAGAATTTTACCCACTAAAACAATGTACCTGAGAGATACTGCATTAGGCCCATAGATCTCTCTCACTGCTGTCAAATCAGCTTCCAGTTGTGGGTGCTTGTGAAGTTCTCCATCGTAGTTAACCTGCAGATAAATGTAATACGGTGGGTGTTTTTATTTTATTTTTTTACTAGTAGCAACATTTTCATAGCAACACTAAGTGCAAATATGGTGGTGTTACTCAAGTTGTTTCGTGAATTTCATCTGGTCTTTTCTCTTCTATTGTATGCCTCCATGTTCCATTGATGGTATGTTTACCATGGTGCTGTACCAAAACACAAGCTGCTGCTAAGGCCATATGAAAAAAAGAAAGGAAAAAAATTGACGAAGAAGCGATTTTTGTGAAAAAATGAAAAATTCACTTTCAATATTTCCTTTCTATGAAGATAAATGTCAGTTTGTTGGTGAGTTTATTTAGCATCTTAACACTTGACCAATTTCATTTTTTACTGGGGGAAAATCAAATTGGCTGTGCAAGAGGAAAGGAGGAACTTATTTGAAAAAATTGTGTAAAATTGGCAAAATTCATTCCAAGTTCAAATACAGGCAGAGCTACCTCATTGTCCTCCTTCAGATTCCTCCTTAAAACTTTCCTTTGGCATGATGCCTATAAAAAACTTGAAATGGCCAGGCCACTTGCATGCCCAGACCACTCTCTATCATTCTGACCCATGTTGTCTCATTGTTTCCTTGTACTCCACCTTCTGTCTGTATCTATCTGTTTGCTCTTGTTTTATGCTTAGATTGTAAACTTTTTGGGACACTTTTTTCTTTTTTTTGTAGAGTGTTTAGCACAAGGAGGTCTTGGTCCCTGATTCAGGTTCCTAAGCACACAGTAATACAAGTAGCAGAAGTAGTAGTACTACTAATAATAATAAATATCTCTTATGGAAAAATCCTATTGCATTTAATAGGGATGAAATCTATGGGGCTCTATAGAAACTACCCAAAAATACAGTATGAAACCTTGGCCTCATTGAAGTCCTCCTTTCTTCCTAGATTTGTATAACTCTACTTGCTAATATTTCTCCAATCTAAAACCACTTCATTTTAAAAACAAAAATATAAACTGATAAAAAGTCACATGAGACAAGGAAATCAATCACTTAAAAATAATTAATTAGGGATATAGTATATAATTTTCAAAAGCACCTAAGTGACTTAGAACTCGTCACTTTGTTATTATTATTGATAGCCTACAACACCATAAACTGTAAAGTGACATGACCTAAGATAATCTTCCTTCTTTATTATTCCTCTTGAAAATGTGTGAATAATATAGTAGGAAACGTATCGTTGTATATCTTCATTGCATATGGGAGGTAGAAATAGCCAATGGAAGTTTAAGTTCATAGAACAAAATCGATAGTTTCATTAGACTTTATGAGGTCCAAATAAGTTATATTTGTCTATACTCTATAAGGATCTACAACATATCATTTTAAAGGTATCAGGTATTGTCCTTTAGGAAAAAATACTGTAATTCATAAATACTTTTACAGTTATAGTGAATGTCTATAGATCAGGGGTGGTCAACCTGTGGCTCTGGAGCCACATGCGGCTCTTCAGAGGTTAATATGAGGCTCCTTGTATAGCAGCTGACTCCAAGGCTGGAGCTACAGATGCTAACTTTCCAATGTGCTGTGGGGTGCTCACTGCTCAACCCCCTGCTCTGCCCCAGGTCCTGCCACCACTCCACCCCTTCCCCCAAGGCCCCTGCCCCTTCCCCCGAGCCTGCCATGCCCTTGCTCCTCCTCCCTCCCCACCAGAGCCTCCTGCGTACTGACAAAAAAGCTGATTGCGGCAGGCGGGAGCATGGGGAGGAAGGGTGCTGATTGGCAGGGCTGCTGGTGGGTGGGAGGTAATGGAGGCTGGAAGGGGGTAGCAAATGGGGGGCTGCTGACATATTACTGTGGCTCTTTGGCAATGCTCATTGGTAAATTCTGGCTCCTTCTCAGGCTCAAGTTGGCCACCCCTGCTACAGATGGTGTGGTCACCTTGTATCCTGTTACACTAGTTTAAATCTGGAGTAACTCTGCAGAAGTCAATTTCCCCAGATTTGGACGAGTACAAAATGAAATAAGAGAAGAATTTGGCTTTGTCTCGCTGAGAAAGGCAAAGAATGAAGCACTAGAGTCCAATTCTGCCCTTCAAATATCCATGTAGACTTCCCACTGACAACAGTTGTTGTTACACAGGCATAACTGATGGCAGTACTGGGCCCTTGATTTGTATATCATATGTAGTAGGATTCTAATTCTGAGATTCAGTGGTCTGTATCAAGTTTGACAGTTAGAGATGCACATTTCAACTGAATTAAGCAGTACTCATCTGATCCCTCTTTATAAGTGAAAATTAGCCAATGATAATTTGACCACATTTGGAATTCATCAAAGAATCTGAAGCCCATCTGAAACTCATCAGTGTAGCAGCAGCACAAGGTTACCAGATGTACTAAGAACATTTAGGAAAGGAAGGGATCTGAGCTAGTGTATCAGTGACTTATTCTGGTCAAAGATGGAAGGCATAGCTCTGGAAAGAGTCTTGTTCCTATCCTCTGTGCTGCAGAAACTAGGGTCTAATATAGGCAAGGGGGAAAGGATGCTGCTGCTGGGGGACTGGCATTTTGCTGAGTCAGATAGAATGAGTTGTCAGGGGAGGGTGAGTAAGGTGAGGGTGGCAGGACTCCCATCCCTATACCCCTCCCCCCCAAGAAGGAAAAAAACTAGGACCCCATTACTCTCTCAAGTTGCTGACAATCATAAGCTCATCCTTTATTTTTTCATGTTAGATGAGGGAAAAAACTATCTTCTTTTTTTTTAAATAAAAATTCTGACACCATATATATATACTCCAGAGTTCTCAACCAGTGGTCCAGGGCGCCCTGGGAGGCCACAAGCAGGTTTCAGAGGGTCCACCAAGCAGGGCTGGCATTAGACTTGCTAGGGCCAAGAGCAGAAAGCCAAGCCCCACCGCCTGGGTCTGAAGCCGGGGCCCCAAGCCCTGCCAAGAGGGGCTGAAGATGAAGCCTGAGCAACTTAACTTCACAGGGCCCCCTGTGGTGTGGGGCCCCAAGCAATTGCCCTGCTTGCTGATGCTGGCCCTGGCTTTGATATGCAGAAAAACAGTTGCCAGAAAGGTGTTCCGTGGAGTTTTTATAGCATGTTTGGGGAGGGGGGGGCTCAGAAAGAAAAAATGTTGAGAACCCCTGACTTAAACAACGTAAATCTTGACATGATGTACTGATGAGCATGGAGTCCTGCATTATGAACGGAGAAGGGTGATTATCCCATGAATCACAACATACTTGACTTGCCATCTTTTCTCTCCCTATTGTATGAAGCATCAGAAAAATCTGTCCAGAACAATATGTGGGTTGCCTGGCTCCCCAATATAATGCTTCCCCACAAAATTTCTGGTAATAGATGGCTAAGGGCTGGAAAGGACAGCAAATTCTGCGTTCCCCTGTTGGCAAGAGGAACACTATATTAGGAACATATCATATAAGGTATTGCCCATCCCTGTGATACAGCCCTAGCCACATTTATGAACATGCAGAGGTGAGTGGCAACTTTGATTAAAGGCAGAGATTCGGGGGGAGGGATAGCTCAGTGGTTTGCGCATTGGCCTGCTAAACCCAGGGTTATGAGTTCAATCCTTGAGGGGGCCACTTGGGGATCTGGGGCAAAATCAGTACTTGGTCCTGCTAGTGAAGGCAGGGGGCTGGACTCGATGACCTTTCAAGGTCCCTTCCAGTTCTAGGAGATGGGATATCTCCATTAATTTTTTCTTTCTTCTTTTTTTACAAATGCATCTGCAAGTTTACACCACAAGAGCAGCATGAATAAGAACCAAAAGCAATGGTGTTATTGTTTCAACAAGAGCTGATCTGCTGTTATCTTCTGCAAATGTACAGGGGGTAGAGATTCAAAGGAAGAGTGCACAAAGACTCTCACAGAGCAGCAAGTATAAGGCCTGGTCTACACTACGAGTTTAGGTCGACTTTAGTAGCGTTAAATCGAATTAAGCCTGGACACGTTCACACGACGAAGCCCTTTCTTTCGACTTAAGGGGCCCTTTAAACCGGTTTCTTTACTCCACCTCTGACGAGGGGAATAGCGATAAAATTGGCCTTAGCGGGTCGGAATTGGGGTAGTGTGGACGGAATTCGACGTTATTGGCCTCCGGGAGCTATCCCCCAGTGCTTCATTGTGACCGCTCTGGACAGCACTCTCAACTCAGATGCACTGACCAGGTAGACAGGAAAAGCCCCGCGAAAGTTTGAATTTCATTTCCCGTTTGCCCAGCGTGGAGAGCACAGGTGACCACGCAGAACTCATCAGCACAGGTAACCATGATGGAGTCCCAGGATCGCAAAAGAGCTCCAGCATGGACCGAAT